TGCGACTGAATCGAATCTCACCGAGAACGCGGTGATCAGATCCTGAATAGAACCCAGATGCCACTCACACGTCAGAGATGAACCATTTTATGTTCATGAAAATATGTTCGTTCTCCGCATGACTCTTAACGTGAGGAGACTCCCATGCATGAGACATACTGTGGACAGGAGTCTTGCAGGGCGGTTTCCATTCTGATTTCATTGTCCTATTCCGAATTTCCATATGCTCTCCTCATTTTCGTTGGGCATTTGTAATCTGGCTTTATATTTCTAACAACGATTTTGTAGAACTACTTTTCTTTGCGGATTACTTCCTCCAGCTGACTTCAGAACGCTTGAAGTTCACTCTCATCGGATGTGCAAGTTAATGAATACCAGTTGGTGATGCCAACTTTCTTTTGATGCGGCGGTTAGAGACAAATAATGGACAAGCTCGGTGATAAGATTTTATATTGAGTAGATAGGAAATAGATGGGTGTACGATGAAGTCAACGTCTCCGACATTTCGTGAAGGAAATTTCCCTCAACGAATGGGAAATGTGCCGTCGACTAAATAGCGAGTGTCGGTCCTCTTAGGTTTTATAGCTTATAGGCTGATTACACGGAATTTGATGCGACCAGCTACCATAATAACAGCTTGAAGATCGCTGTCTGAAGAGGATGGAAGCAGAATCCCATAGAGTTTCGTGGGGGTGCTCGTTTTGTCCATTTTCAGTGACGTTTTATGCAACCCGGGATTTGATGGCCTTTCACCGGCTGTCTTACCGTTCGACGTCGTAGACGGGAGCTCCTAGTGCGAGGAGTACTGGGGTTGGAGCTCTGATGGCTCAGCGAACGCAGTTCCCTGGAGTCTCGTTATCGGCCTTCCGGAAGCCTTACTCAGGCCTTCACCACCATAAGCGGTTTCCGGCCATCTTGAATCAGAGGGAGATTGGCACCTTGCATCTAGTTTTATACCAAGACAGGGGTGACTCCTGGTATTGGTTCACTATTAGTTAGGCTTCCCGATAAATGCGTTGGTCTTCTCAGCTTGGGAGACCCTGCTGGGGTCATTAACCTCACGCTGTTTATGGGAGCCCGACACTCAGAAACACCTCCCAGCCACGATGAGGCGGTAAACCTTTTAGAGTATTGAGTCGTATAAATAGAAAAAAAATTGAAATTCCAATTAACGCCTACTTCTATATAGTTGCTAAAATCATAGCGCACATGGCAAAACAGTTTATTGCTACAGCATGACGTCGTTTACTGGCAACACTTGTGACGTATTCTCATGGTGACTTTCAGGTCGTCCTACATCTCACTATCCCACAGTCTGCGTACAAGTGCCCCATGCACCTATCAGTTCAGTGTCTGCACCACCTCGTGCTGTATCGTATGCTATCCCGTATCCGAAACCGGTTTGTTTTTTTTCTACTATTTTGATACTTTTGAACGTTCTGCGTATTTTTTCTATAATCCATGTTACAGTCATTATCACATTTACAACGACATGCAGTGATTTCAATGCATACTTCTCTCCCAAAGTTATTTCTGCTCCTGAACTTTAAAGAACTACATCTCAGATTATAGTGAAATTTATTGATTGACAGAAACTTAGAGTTTAAGAATTTGTGTCCACGTCTCCATGTCTTAAGGCGAAGGCTGCAACTTTTCTTTTATTATAGAAGATAGGTAAGGCTGTCGGCGTTGGTCATTCCGTGAGGGATGAGCCACGCATTCCACTTCCTTAAGCATCGTTAGAGGTAACTGAATGCATATCATGTCTTTATGATGACTCGCGGTGGCCTACCAATATATTGAGTCAGTGCTGCTATCCTCTTTGCCGACCTAGCAGAGATGAAAGGCTTGGTGAGCCCGGGGCGCGGAATCGAACCCATGTATATTGCAAGGCACCTCAAACTATTGCTTTACACGTCCTCTTACTCTTTTATTCTACAGCGATAAGATTCTGTTTTTCTTCTTATAACACTTTTTTTCATCGAAGCCCGTATGTCGAGCACCGAAGCGATTGGAAAGCAGAGGTTTTCTCTGAGAAGATGCGAATATGGTCTCTAATGTATCGTCGTTGTTTGCGGCCGCTGTGCACGAATTAAAAATTTCGAAATGTTAAATTTTACTTTCAACTTTTTGATCAAACAAGTTTTTTAGAATTTGAAGGGCATTCGCCAGAAACCGACATACCACTAAAGCAATAGTACTAAGCAATAGTACTACTTATACTTGATACTTGAATGGCCCGTCCTCACTTGTGTGAGCCTCAGCATAATCTCCATTTTCCGGAGATCTGCTGGTTAAGGCGTTCTAGTTCCCTGGAATCTCGTGGTCAACCTGGCCAAAGTCTGCTCCAGTTCTTCACCACCACAGACAGTTGCTGCCTTTGTGGATCAGAGGGAGATTTGCCACCATGCGACTTTGATACCAGGACCGCCGTGGATCCTAGTATTCGTTTACTCTTAGCTAGGTTTCTGGTGGAAGTGCCGATCTCCTTCACAGTTTGGAAGGCTCCACCAAGAGACGAATCCCCTGCTGTAAATCGCAGTCCGACATCCAGGAACACTTCCCAGCCACGATGAGGCGGTGAACCGGTGGGAAGAAAGCGATAGTAGTTATTCTACATGATCGTTAAGTCCTCCTCATGTTCTTAACTGCTCAAGCTGCCAGAAAACTATCGTTAATTGCCCACGAACAAGTTTCGTCATGAATTATGTCGAAATTTTTAAATTTGTAGGCGTTTTGTTTGTATTTTTGTCCTTTTTTAGCATTTTTTAAACAGTTGCTTCTGTTTTCGTGTTTCTTGCTGTTTCCCTCAAACTTTGGCTCATCGAATGACAGGAGGGTCTATTGAAGTTTTTTAAAGGGTAATTCAATGTGTTCAAGTGTTTGTTTTGTCCACCCTAAAGCTTCTTTGCAACACTCTACGTTTCGCTCATTCATTTAGCTGTTCTGCCACATCTTCAAGTTCTTTCTGCACCGGCACCAGCTTCTGCCGTTGTACGGTTTTTTTTAATTCATTAGGCAGGGGGTTTCGAGAGCAAATTTTCGTTTTATTACTAAAATGCCGCGAAGCTTAAAGTATTCGACATTCAACAATCGCTTTAAGATGCGATGTATATTCGACTCCACTCGAGGCATTGTAGGGGTTATCAAGTGCATATGGGCTTATTATACAATGACTTTCCTGGGCCTGTCGATGCATCAAGTCAGTGTTGCTGTCCTTGCAGGCAATTCTGGTGTCAGTTTTGATTCTCGAGCACCTCTAATAGTTGTCCTACACATTGGTTGGAAAGACCCAAAAAATTAGACAATTTCTGGGCAGAAAATATATTAAGTAATTCAGAACAGATTTCTAGTGGTTAATGATATTATTGCAGGATCCTAGCAATTGCTACAAAAGCCCAGACGTTTGGATAGTATGCCGCTTTCCGAGTGTCGTCATCGAAGTTATGGGTTATTTCCTTTTTATGGGGTCATAAAGTTTGTTTTATTTTTCACGCATATTTACTAGCCATATCTACGCCACATGGTTTGTGACGATAGTTTTGCTATTTAATCGTTCCAAAAGTCGGTCTAAGTCTGGAGTTTCACCATGCTCGCTACCTCTTCAGATTGGCAGCTCTTTTGGCTTTCCAGTATCCTGATACCGTCCTTGAAATTTCCTGTTATGTGTTTTTTTTTTTCGAAAAAAGCAATGCTGAAAAATTTAAAGTCTGCTCTCTTCTTTCCTTAACATAGCGTATCTGTATTTCTTTGTAGGTATTCATCTACATCGGCTTTTTTTTGTCCATCTTCGAGTGACTCTAGTAGGTGACATCAAAGTCTCCATTTGACGCTTTTGCATAGAGAAGCGACCCAGACCCAGTGGATTTTGCTTTCTCTACGAGATTGTGAGGCATCATGTTTTTTAAAAGTATTTTAATGAAGTTTGACCATCTTGTCCGTGGTCTTCCTGCTTTACGTTTTACATCCTAAGGAATCCAGTCAATAACGGATCTCACCTATCGGTTTTTATTCAGATTCGTGCCTGGCCCACTTGATTTTCGAAATTTAACGAGCACAACGACGTCTCCAGTCTTTAATACCGGTGTTGCGCGTAGCTTCGAATTCCGTTTACTCATTTCTATGATATGGAGTGTACCTGACACCGTCCTGTTTGCTGCTCTTTCAGTAGCTCTCAATGATCTTTCATCCTACTTATATAACGGCTAGGTTTGCGATACATGCGTCAGATACGAATGCGAAGGATCATAGAGTCGAAACGTTTGATACGGAATCGGGTGTTCTGATGTGTAATTTGTCAGTTTTGCTACATCCTCATCGCTCTTCAAGCTTTCCAAGCTGCTCACTTCCTCCCGCTTAGCTACGAGGTCAAATTGTTCATTGTTTTCACTTCATCAGCTCATATACACATAGTTACAGCAATTTCAGGCATTTGTTCCATTGAGTGTGAATGGAGCATCAGAAGCTAATCCGTTTTTCACGGCATCCCCTTCTTGAGGGAAATATTGGTCTTCGACCAATATTTTCACGGACCTTGTCGATATCGGTCATCGTTTATTTCGCCTGGCTAGTGATTGATGCTGTAGGAGCGATATCATCAGCAGTACGAAGATGGTATAGCTGTTAGCCATTGATTTCCACTCCCATGCTAATCCATAGTAGTTAGACATTCTGGAGATTTGGCTGTGCATAATTTCGACGAGATGGTATCACGCCGTTGGTAACCTCTCTTCATGTTAATGTTGATGTTCATGTCGTTGTTGATAGAGAGTGCCTTTTTTTACGGACTAAAACGATTAAGTCCGCTTTTTGCTATCACAATTTACTCAGTTTGCTTCATTTAATATCCTTATACGCTATGTTGTTACTTGTTACTTTCTTTGGTTCAGAAGCTCAGATGTTAGGCGTACACGTAGACCTTAATATTGTTGCCATTATTATTATTATTATTATTATTATTATTATTATTATTATTGCTATTGTTATTTCTATTATTCTAACTGTTATCGCATTCCTTAAAGCATAATACATTACATTATAGTAAACCTCGCTTCTACATCGTTAACCTCCTCCCCACCTTAGACAGTTTCTTTTACTCTCTTTGTACCTTCTGCCATGTGAGAAGGTTGAAGCGTTGACTTAGCTTTTGTTTCGTCACAGTTTCGGTCCTTGTACCGGCGATCGAATCTGTTCATCCACCTTTTCTTATGAACTGATAAATGAAACAAGAATATAAGGTGGATGTTTATGAGATCGATTGGAACTAGGACACTTGTTTTACTTTAATCCTTTTGAATTTTCTCGATAACCAATACCTTTTGTGGTTATTCTACGTTGTCTTTTATTTTCCACTAAAGGAATTAGGAGTAAAGCCTTCGGTGTTCATCAAACCACTTATGCATGCGTCATGAACTTAAATTCGTTAAGAGTGACTGAATGCATGTATGCTGGATACGATTACTTTAGAGGACCTACTCATGTATGAAGTCCGTATTTTTACCTTTGAAGGCAAATCTAGTGCCAATTTGTCGACCTGAAAAGGTTGGAAGGCTTGCATAACTCGAGTCACGGGATCTTGGCAAAACTTCTGCATGTGTTGCAGGACACCTTTGACGACTGTGCTAAATATCCGCTTTCCATTGAGCAGTGGATAAAAAATCTTTCGTTAGAGCAACGTTTTCTCTTGCAGATACAATACTCAGCCACACAACTACAGTACGAGAATATCAAGCATCGTTGTAAAATGTTAGATAACGAGAATCAACGTCTTATGCGAGTACAGAACGAACTGATCACTGATGCGAATCGTCGAGTTGAGGTGAGATTTCTGCACACTATCATTATCTTTATCTGTCTTTGTTCTAAAGGTTTGAGGATAAAGCTCTCAGCGTTGATCAGTCACTGAGGAATACGCCATGCATTCGACTCTACTAAGCATCGCTGGAGGTGATTGAATGCATATGACATGACTTTACAATGACTGGTGGTGCCATACCGATGTATCGAGCCAGTACTGCTCTACTCCCAGACAAGTCTGGTACCAATTTGCCGACTCCGAAGGGTTGGAAGGCTTAGCGGGCCATGGGCGCGGGGATCGATTCCACGTGTGTGTTGCAGGGCGCCTCCTACCACTACGCCACACGCGCCCTTATCTATCTTTCTTTTAGATTTTTAGTTTAATCTTATTTTACTTTAATTCGGCAGCCCATGATTCAGTAATCTTTGCTTGCCTCCTTGGTAAGTCCGTTGGTGGGAGCGCAAAATTCCTAAAATGTTTCCTTTAGTGATAGTTATGGAATAAATATCTTCATTATGTTATATTACGGCAGTATAGGACAATCGACTCTAACAATTAATGACTCCTGTTGTCAATTTCTTCCCAAAAATCCTGTTCGAATAAAAATTACAGTTTCCATGTTTTCCTATGTACACTTCGCTATGTACGGTACTTTTGGAATTCGATTCATAATTTTTTCTCACAGATGCACGTTAATGAGATCCGGATGTTAAAGGAGGAAAACAAGAAGTTGGTGGCTGCAAACAAGGTACGTTTTTGCTATCCTCAAGTTTTAGCTGCTTTTCTTTTTAGAAACTTCAGAAGAGAAGTTTTCCGTTTCGAAACAGCATACTGGGAAGTTTAATGTGCATTTGATTAACTACTGCTCTCTTTCAGGAGTTACGAGAACTTTGCTGTTTTCTTGATGACGATCGTCAAAAGACTCGTCGTTTAGCAAAAGAATGGCAGAAGTTTGGCAGATATACTAGCCAAGTTATGAAACAGGTTTGAACGTTTACCGCTTTTTGATTTAAATGTTAACTTGATTTGAAAGTTAATTCTTTTTATGATTGTACACCTTCTACGTGTTAACATTACGACAAGCATTAGTCTTCCTTACATGGCATTAGTGTTATATGAAGAATGTCTCCTGTTTTTGTGATGGGAAAATAATCAGCAGTATGGATTTGGTTAGTAGTTGGAGTCCCATGGAAAGCAACGGATGTAATCTTGTTTCTAAACTGCAGTAACGAGTCGAATCGCTATCGACCACTGAAGACATAGATTTGTCCGGCAGTTGGTGGGATTCCGCTTCTACTGACTGTGAGTAGGCATGATTCTGTGTGCAATTTCCTGATTTTCCGCGTTTCAGCTATTTGAAATAAAAACATTTATTTTAAATGAAAATTTGTTACTTATCTTTCGTTATTGCACGATGAAGGATTTGGAAAACGCACTCGTAAGAAAAATACGGCCTAACCCATGTATAGTTGCTCTTTCCGATACACAAACGGTGGCGATTACCTGCGACAAAGACCCGGGAAAGCACCAGTTTAACTATCCCAATATTCCAGTGAAAGGTCAGCTTAACTAATATTGAACTACACCCATAAAGAAAGCGAAGGCCTCAGCTGGTCCACGAACTTACGTTCAAATCCGAAGATTTTCGTGCGTAGCAGATGTAAGACCGGGTGTTGAAGATGGTAGGACGCGCAAAATATGTAAATTCGGGTCATGTAAGTAAAAAAATTAAAATGATAGAGATATTTGCAAAACTCCGGACCGGACGTGTATGCGGTGGGGAACGAACCCGCCAAAAAGATCGATAGAACTAGCTGAGAGACAGGCAAGAGGAAGGACCCGGATGGTGTAGTGGTGAAGTGTGCTGCTCCCCGGTAAGAACAACAGCGCGTGTTCGTCCCCCACTGCATACACCTGCGGTACGGAGTTTTGCAAATATCTCAGCATTTCATACGAGTTATTTTTCGCAACATACCCTGCCATTAAGAAGAAAAAGGCAGTAAGTAAAAGGGTTAAAATGATACAAGTAAAGGGAGTGTAGGTGATGAATAAGTAAAGGAGGACGATTTCGTGAAGTTATTAAACTCATTCTCCCAGACCCATTCAGCATTAAGATGATTCCTGTGTGAGCACTTTCCAGATCGAACAGTGGAGAAAAGTAAAAATGTTGATTGCGTTTTTTATAGGAGATGTCAATGAATCAGCAGCGTCTTCGTGAATCCGAAGAGCGTCACATGGAGGCGATCCGTGAAAATGAAGAACTGAAGCAATTGTGCCTTTACTTGGACGAGCAACGACAGCGATTCACTGGCTATCGCGCTGAAGACGACGGCGAAAGTGAAGATCTCGGTTAGTGAGATGTTATACTTTTTTGAGGATATTTCGTTATTTCGGACAAAGTCCGAATAACCAGGCATTATTTCCTTTCGATTTCAATCGATAAACACAAGAAGCAAATGATGGTAGTGCAATTTGGTTATCCTTCAACATTTTAGGAAATTACTTTCTTGGTTCTACTCCAGCGAAAATTTCGAAAAAAATCACTTTTCATTTTTAGTTTTTTGTTTATTTTAAAATGGTGGAAAAGGAAACTTCTGTATATCCGTTTATTGCTCGGAAACAGTTAAAAAGTAAATATAACCACAATAATGCTGAGATATTTGCAAAGCTCCGAAGCGCAAGTGTTTGCGGTGAGGGACCAACGCGCTATTACCCTTTTCGGCGGCTAACACGTTCATTCATCACCACACCACGTGGGTTCTTCGTTTAACTTTTCTCTCAGTTTTCTATCTACCAGTGTCATCAGCAATCGCTCGTCAACGGAATTCATCTGGGTGCACAGATCGGTATTGAACCCAGCTGAGCTGAGACTAGTCGAAAGGCAGTTTCCGAAAAAAAAGAAATTAACCTTGAAAAATAAATGTTTGAAATAGGTGAATGAGGAAAAATAAAACTGCTGAATCGAAATGAGCAACAAAATCCGGAAATTTTTGAGGGAATCATCACATGGTGGTACCTATATGTATAATCCTTCACTTTTTATTGTCAGAATGTGATAAAAATGCTCTAAAAATTGTCTATGAAATGATCTTGGAATGTTCTATAAAATACCTTTGGATTATAAAGCTGATGAAGAAAGTGCTTTGGCAGGTTGTGGAAGCAGTGAACGTAGTGAGGAGTGTGATGACTCAAAGTACGCTTGTGATATTCCTGGCATCAATCCACAAAAGGTTTGTAGCTACTTTCTGGTTTTCCATTAGCAGTCATTGACTTCTTTTCTTGGGTTCTTAACAGTCATTAGAACGTACATTAAACCTCTGTGCAATATCTTTCGTATTTATATTTATTTGTACAAATATTGATATGATATCCTCCAAACCGTTTACCGCCCCACCGTGACTGGGAAGTGTTCTTCGGTATCGTGCTACAATGTACAGCAGGAGGTACGCCCCCTTGGCAGTGTCTCCCAAGCTGAGAAGGAGTACAGCGTTTCCATGAGGAAACCTAGTTAAGAGTAAACCAATACCACGACCTACCACCGTTCTGGTATTAAACTAGTCGCATGGTGGTAAATCTCTGTCCGGTCCACAACGACTGCCTATAGTGGTGACGACCTGCGGTAGAGTTTCGCCAAGTTGACCTCGGGATTCCAGGGAACGACAATGGCTTAACTAGCAAATCTCCGAAAAGTGGAGATTATGTTGGGCCCGCACAACCAGTAAGGACGGGCCATTCAAGTATCAAGTATTATTTGAAATAATTGAAATTTTTTGCTTAACATGCACACAGTACTCCTGGATACTTACAAAAATGAAACAAACCTATATTTATACAGTTACATTTAGTGTGTTAGGTAGAAGTATCGCGAAAAAAGTCTGACAGGAAATAGAAAGAGGTCTCCGATTTCTATGAAGTCCAGAAAAATGTTTTGGAGACGTCTTTTATTCAATTAAAATGTCTTTGAGTATTCTCAGAGTATTCTAGGAGGATACACTTCGTCTGATCAGCCAACAAATGGAGAGCTCTGTTGTATCCGTTCATTCTGTCGCCAACGAGCAGAGCGCACGTTCTGAACAACTGTTGGACTATATTCACTCACTGGAAGGACGAATTAAGCAGCTCGAGAAAGCCAGTCAACAAAACGTTCGTTTCATTGTGAATCACTTCAGTTCAGTAGCTAGTCGATAATTGTTTACAACGGTTAAAGTGTGGTGTCGCTAAGTACGGTATGTGTAATCAGTTCTTCTGATTAGAAAGGTGAGGATGAGAGAAGGGAAGTAAGGAACTACGATTTTTGTTCATTTGCCAATTTAAGGAAAAAATACCATGTTGTGAATGGTTTTTTACGTGGAATCTTCTTCCAGTCAATGACTTGAGAACCCCTTTTCTCACTTTTTCTTGTTTCCTTCTTGTTTTTTGACTTCTGGAAGTGCTTTGCATTTTTGTTAAACTCAAAACAAGCTATTTAAAAATTTGGCTCTACAAACTTGTAGTTTGTAAAATTTGCCCTACATCACTATTATTTCCTATGTTTTTCCAATGTTTTTCATTTTTCCTCTTCACATTAGCATTAACGTCGTTTACAGTTTTACGTTCTTGTTTGCGGAACTGATCATCTTTCAAAAATCCATCTCATCTTGGCAAACATGTATCAGACTAGTCCGATAGGATAAAAACACTAATCTAGTAGGGCGGTAGGCTAGGGAAAGTCATTGTACAAGCTATATATGTATTCAAAGGCGTTTGCCATCCTACGAATGGAGTCCAATGCATTGTGCATCCTTCACCGACTAATCATCTCGGGCGCTTTACGCGTCATCATCATTACGTTTCGTTTCGTTCTTTGTAAATTTCCTTTATAGGGTATCTGGCACTCAGCATGTACGTTAGCCTCGGAATCTGATGAGAAAACAGTTATCGACCGATGTGATGAGTTGTCCAATGGCGTTATTATTGGAAAAGGCTCTCCTAGAGATCCAAAAACGATGCAGACTTCTTATTGCAGTAAGTTTCCATCGTAGTCTATTTCATCAAAAGTTTTCCAAATGTCCTATTTTTCAGGTACTCTGACCACCTCAGGGACGACATATGCCAGTTCAGAGACCGATATGGAAAGCGCTGTATACGTTATGGGCGATGAAACGGGTAAGGGAACTAGTTCGTACAAACCGTTTGATCTTTACAATGTCCCTCATATATAAGAAGAATAGTAAGAAGAAATACAAGAAGTAGTTTGAAATGAAATGAATAGAATGAGTAATAAAATTATGGGAAATTAGGCAAGAATCGAGCCGTGACAAGTCTAAAAGAATATAGCATTTGCGAATAGTGGGATTCTTTTAAGGATTCAATAGAGCTATGAACAAAAACGAAATCGAAGATGATGACATCTACAGAGGAGACGATTAGAGAAATGATTAGGAGCTTTTTAGTTTTAGAAGAAGTAGTCTGATGAGCGCAATAGTTGGACATGCTGTGGAACAATGCAGGCATAGTCGCTGGTTCGATCCTGAACCGTTCAAACCAAGGCTCCCATCACTCCACGGTCGGCAAGTTAGCACCATGATAGATTTCTCGTAGCGCCGGCGACGATGAATGATTGTGGTGAATACCTGGGAAAAGTCTAGTGGAATTACTCGAAAATTCCTGAAAGACTCAGCTTGGCCAACGTTCAATTAAATTCATGACGAAGATAAGGTCAGTCGCATGTGGCAGTCGAGCCCACATGAATATATGAAAACCTTGCTGGTCCGACACAGAAAAGTGAGTGAAGAGGGTGCTGGGACCCTCACAACATGTAAAATCGTGCCATATAACTGAGTAAAATAAAGTAAAATGCTGGAAGAAATCTGCATGAAATCTGTGGAGAAAATTGTTAAGCAACCGTTTAGTTAGCGGTCCACTTTAATGTATTGAATCGTGGACATGGAACTCCAATTCTTCATATAAAGTATTTACTTTTATAAATTCTTGCATAGATCCTTCAAATGGGATAGAATCATTGGAAGTGCGTTCGTTGACGAGAATCGAAGAAGAGGACAAAGACAAATCTTTAGATGAGGTTGAGGAGGAAAGCGCCAAGCTCCCTCCAACCATCGCACCGCTCAGCTTGGCGAGTTTTCCTTTCCAATTAAATTTGTGTTTATCTTAGCGTACATCTGGGATCGTGCATTAGAAGTTCGTAAAAAGAGAAGCAACTAAGTACAAAGAAGAAAGATAAGAAAAAGTGGTCTTCTTAGGAAGATTAGCTTTTCAACGGTAATCGATTTGGCTTCATATTTGTTACGTTATGATTTATCCTAAATTCGTAGTGATTTGGTTGTTGAATTTGTTTGGCAACATTTTTGCTTAAAGCAATATTCTCAGCAAAAGTGAAAACAACTGATTTTCACTGTAACAGTTTCTAAATGCTCCTGTTCTTACTTTGTTCCTGTATTTTCTTCTTCAGGTTTTTTTCTCCAATAGTTTTCATAGAATTTGTCAAGTGGAAGATCAAACCTTGGGGACTTTTCTTCTTACCTTTTTACCTTCTCTTTTACCCTTTAATTACCTTTTTTATCTTAAACTTTTTATCAGAAATGCTTAAATTGCATATATAAACGATTTGTCTTAAAAAGTAAACATTTTAGTTAAACGTGGCTCGTTTGTCTCTGACAAATTCCGAGCTTTCGTTGTCTCTGAATCGTTCGTTTGAAGAATCACAGCCTCGTCGTTGTTCGTCGTCCAGCGCTGTCCCAATCGCTGCTCCATGTGAGTCCAACTCCATTATTAGTCCTTTCTGTTGAGAAGAAATGTTACTTATAAAATCATTTCCGTGTACTTCTTCGGTCGGAGAAAGCCTGAGTACTTGGGATACGAACAAAAGGTGAAGAAACAAAATAGTAGTTTTTGCTCAAAAAGTGATATGAAATTCTGTCAACATTAGTACAGTTTATTTCGAAACCGACTTTCCTTGAACCTCGGTATCACTAATCAATATGTATTCTTTCTTTGATAAGCTTACACGAGGTTGATAATGAT